GGCTGGCCTCGAACTCACAAAGATCCACCTGCCTCTGCCTCTCAAGTGCTGGGATTAAAGGAGTGTGCCACCACTGCCCGGCCTAAACAAACTTCTTATTTTGTCCCCATCTGCATTATGATATGGTCTGTGATCCCTGCCCTTATCATGTCTGCAGTGTGGCAGGGGATGAGGCGAGGCCTGGCCCTGTTCATCCCAGAACAGGGGCAGCGCCTGGTCATGCTAAGAGGTAAAGAATTCGGCCTGGACAATGAGGCCAATTAAAGGAAGAGCCGGACCATAGGGAGGCCGGCTGGCCCTCAGTCTGTGCTCAGCTGCGGGCCCCCTTTCTGGCAGAGGGTGGACACCTGAGCAGGAAGGAGGCTGATGAGAGGCACCTCTTGGGGCAGCTTCTGTTCTCGACAAGGATGACAGGAAGTTTCAAAGTCAAATATTCCCTGGAGGGGAAGTGTGAACACTTCAAATAAAAGTCACTGAAACATTCCCTTCTGGGTGGGTGGGTGGGGGGCACTCAGGGCTCAGAAATCACAGCAGGCTGTGTGCAGATAGCCTGGCCAATCTCAGCATGATGGACAGGGGCACCTTTTGCTATTCATGCTTTGAAATCCCTCTTTTCTTCCATAAAGGAAAAAAATGTTGTCCTTGGGTCATGAAGTTGAGGTGGGTTCAGGAAGCCTGTGATGAGAGAGAGAGAGAGAGAGAGAGACAGAGAGAGAGACAGAGACAGAGAGAGACAGAGAGATTGTGCTTTTAGCTAGCTCCTAGCCCCTCACATGTCTTTTGTCCCTTCCCCCTTTCCCTACCTCCCTCTTCTTGGGAGCCTATGGAGAGGGACAGGCGTCAGCAAATGCTCTCTTCTCAGAGGAACAGGTCACCTTAGTCCCCTGCTCTCATGGGACTCAGCTGAGAGTGTGCCTGCCTTCCTTCAGAATGCCCCTTCTCTGTTTCGGCCTTGCCTCTCCCCTCCCCCATTATCCTCGGCCCCTCTGCTAGGATTTCCACCCCCAAATCCTCTGTTGGGACTTGCTCACATTCTCCTGATGGTGCAGGGGTCTCCCTGCCTGTTGGCATTTCTCAATAGCAGCCCCTCCCTTGGCTTCCCCCCACCCCTGGCCCACTTGACAGCTTTAGAGGTGACTGATGATTGAATCTCTCATCCAGTTGCTGGAGGCCTGGAGGGGGAAGGGGCTCCATGAAAGTGAGGGGGCCCTGGGACTGGGACTGGGTGGGCTTGTCTCTCCAGAAGAGGCCCCCAAGGTCGTTTATAATACCCTAAGTTTAATATACTGATCCTTTTGTGGTCAACAAAGTAAGTTTAAAATGCTTTCATTGAAAATAACTCACAGAAAGGACCCCACCCCCACCCCCACCCCCACCCCCACAGAATTGGTGCCCCAGCAGGAGAATATTTTTGAGACACAGCAAGAATTTACAAAATTACTGATCATATTAAAGAAAAAGGGTTCTGTTTATTAGCCATCTGAAAGGTGAGTGGCGTACTAAGAGAAGGCATTGGGCTGTGTATCTGCTTGCAAAAGATCAGCTCATGTTACACATATAGAGCTCCTGTAATTCACGTGAAAGAGTTGACATGGGACACGTGGGATGAGAAGATACGAGGAAGTGTCGGCCCCACCATCAGGCGGTCAAGCAGAGCAGTTAGAGAGCGAAGAACTGACGTGTTTGTCCTCTTGGCAACAGTTACAGCCTGTTACAACAGGAACTGGGAAGCTCTAGACAGTCACTCACTATCCGTGGAAACGGATTAAGCCTGCCTCTGCACTGGATAATCTTCCAGGTGCTTGGAGCATAACAGTGACCAGGAAAGACAAAAGCACCATTCTTCCGCTGGCTTACGTTCTCCTGAGAGGCAGACAGTAGGCCAGCCGTGGGGTTGTTAGCTAAATTAAAGGCATGCGAGAAAGGTAGGTAGAGAAGGGGACGAAGAGGGGCCTTAGGAAGGTGAGCGGTTCAAGGGGAGCACTCACAGCGTGTCTGGTCGGGAAGGTGACACTGGACAGACATGTGTAGAAATGAGGGGACGAACTGTGGGAAGACCCAAGCTCTAGAACCCTCAGATCCTAGGGCGTGCAACAACACACACAAGAGCCACTGGGCCACGGTTATTTTGAAATTCATCCAGGCTCTTAGGTGTTCAAGGATTGGGCTCAGTTTCCTCAGAAAGTTGTTTCTGTTCTCTGACTTTACTCTTTTCACATACAAAATATCTCGTTTTCGGTTGAGTGGCTTTCCAACCGTACTGTTTGCATGGTAAAGTTTTGGTTCCAAAGTTGTCTTAATTTTGTATTGTTTCTGGCATAATTCTTTAAAAACTTTGTGGGCTTTTATTTATTAATTTGTAATCTATTAATCAAGGACTATCTTTTTGTTTGTTTGTTTTTGTTTTTGTTTTTTGAGACAGGGTTTCTTTGTGTAGCTTTGCGCCTTTCCTGGAACTCGCTTTGTAGACCAGGTTGGCCTTGAACTCACAGAGATCCACCTGCCTCTGCCTCCAAGTGCTGGGATTAAAGGCGTGCACCACCACCTGGCAATCAAGGACCATCTTAACAATGATCTTTGAAGTAAGGTTTTAATGATCTTAATATTTTAAGAATCCCTCCCCTCCCCTCGGCCCGGTTTCACTATGTAACCCTAGGTGGTCTGGGACTCACAGAGGTCCATCTGTCTCCAGCTTCCTGTGCTGGGATTAAAGGCTTATGCCACAAAACCAGCTAAGAAACTTTATTTTTAAATACAGAGAATCTGCAAGACACAGAGGATACCCCTTCACACCCTTACAGGGGGCACCCCTTCACACCCTTTTACAGGGAAGATACAGGGGAAGAAGACCTCTGGAAACTCATTTCTTTTTTTCTTTTTTCTTTCTTTCTTTCTTTCTTTCTTTCTTTCTTTCTTTCTTTCTTTCTTTCTTTCTTTCTTT